CCTCTCTCCCTCTCTCCCTCTCATCTCTCTCTCTCTCTCATCTCTCTCTCTCTCTCGTCTCTCTCTCTCTCTTCTCCTCTCTCTCTCCTCCCTCTCTCTCTCTCTTCTCCTCTCTCTCTCTCGTCTCTCTCTCTCTCTCGTCTCTCTCTCTCTCCCCCTCTCTCTCTCTCCCCCTCTCTCCCCTCTCTCTCTCTCCCCCTCTCTCCCTCTCATCTCTCTCTCTCCCCTCTCTCTCCTCTCTCCCCCTCTCTCCCTCTCCCTCCTCTCTCTCTCCTCTCCCTCTCTCTCTCCTCCGAAAGGAGGGTAAAAGGAAGGAAGGAAAATAGTTAGAAAGTTAGTAGGTAGGCAACATGAAAGCAAGAAAGGAGGGGGGTGGGGGAAGCGAGAAAGAGACAAATTAACAGAGACAAAGTCCGAAGTGAGGCGTTTATTTTCGTGACGACTGCCAAGGTCGAGCGGGTCTGAGGACACGTCGGTGTACTTGAGAACGGAGGAGGAGGAAGGAGGAGGAGAAGGAGAAAGAGAAGAAGGAGAAGGAGAAGGAGAAAGAGAAGGAGAAACAGGGAGAGAAGGAGAAGAAGGAGAAGAAAGATGAGGAGAAGTAAAAGAAAGAGAAATATAATAAAAGTAAATGGGGCGGAAGAAGGGCGAAGGGGAAGAGGTATGGGAGAAAAGCGTTTAGAGGGAGGATAAAGAATGAAAAAAGGAAGAGGAGGAGGAGGAGGCCTCTCGACACGATGTGGACGTTGGAGGAGCGACCATCGAGGAGGAGGAGAAGGAGGGGGAGAGGGAGAGGAGGGGGTATAAGGGCTTATGGTAGCCTTCATGAGTGTCTGAAGTGGTTCGAAATGGCCATAAGCTAATTAAAGAAGGGAGTGAGGGAGGAAGAGGGAAGGAGGGAAGGAAATATGGAGGGAGGCAGGGAGGGAGGGAAAAGAGAGGGGAGGGAGAAAGGGATACAGAGAGTAAAGAAGCGAGGCAAGTAAGCAGGGGACCAGAGAGGGGACCGCACACGGCAAGTTCTCTTCAACACCACCCAAAGGGCGCCGTGATTATCTCCATTTATCGCTCCGCCATTCATTTGGATCCCAATTCATTATTCAATGGCGCTAATTAATGCTTCGTATCCGTTGAGCTTCGTGACTTGGGTAGGGCGCAGAGTCGTCCTCCTCCGCTGCTTGCATGCTTTGCTTTCCTGCAGTGAAATCCGCGGCTCGAATGGCCTGTGAATCGTGTTTGCTCTCGGTCTCCCCTCTCTTTGCTTCCCACCTGTCTCCCCTCGTCCTCGCCCCACTGTGCCTGTTAGTCTCCCCTCTCCCCTTTTCCACTCTCCGCCCTGGTCTCCCCTCCCCCTCCGCTTCCTCCTCTCCCCTTCTCCTTCCCCACCCTTCTCTCCCCTTCTCCCGAATGAGTGCATGCTTGTCTGTTCCCCCTCCTCCACCCTCCTCGCTCCCCTCTGGTTCCCTTTTCCAAAATGTGTTTACATGTGTTTTTAGTTTCCGAGCTCACTTTTCCCATCGTCCCAGTATGCGTGTGGGAGTGTGTGTGTATGGATGTATGTATGTATATGTACGTATGTATGTATGTATGTGTGTGTGCAAGTGCGCGTATGTGCGCTATCCTTCCCCTCTCTCGAATGTGCTTGTGCTTGCTCTAATCCCTCCGCCCTCCGTGGCCCCCCCCGGCCCTCCCTGCGCCGTCCCCCGGGGGAAAATCCCTTCCGCCGGCGTCCCGCGAAAGCTTAGAGGGACAATCCGCTTCGGCGACAAAGAATCTCCCTCACTGTTGAGGTTTCGCGATCGGAGATCATCTCGTTGCAACTTTAGACAAAACTGAACATGTTTCCCCGCCGGAGACGGCGACGGCGGCCTCGACGAAGGAAGGAACACTCCGGGCGTCCTTTTCCATGCAGCTTCATCTTCCTTCCTCCTTCCTCTATCCTTCCTCACCCTTTATCCTACATCCTCTTCTTTTTTCTTCCTTTTTCCTTCCATTCATCCTCCCCCTTCTTCTTCCTTCACCCTCTTCTCTTTCCCCCGCCCCCCCGCGCCCCACCCGAGCGGCGGCGGGTGCCTCCCGAGGGCCAGGACGGTAACTGCGTAACAGCCGCCGCGAAGGTTTGTTTACGTTCCTCCTGCTCGCTCCCCTTTAAAACCGGACCCATTGTGAAGGTGGGAGCTCTGACGCCGCCCCCTCCGCCCCCGTTCCTCCTCTTCCCTATCCCCCCCTCTCTCCCCTATCCCTCCCTCCCTCTCTCTCTCTCTCTCTCTCTTTCTCTCTCTCTCTCTCTCTCTCTCTCTCTCTCTCTCTCTTTCTCTCTCTCTCTTTCTCTCTCTCTCTCTCTCTCTTCCTCCTCCTCCTCCTCCTCCTCCTCCTCCTCCTCCTCCTCCTCTCTCCGCTCCCCCACCTACTTTGCTATTCCTCCCATTCCCGCCCTCCGCTCCCCCCCCACTCGCTTGCAAGACTCTGGCTTCTAGGAAAGGAGGTGAATGTTGAGGGAAGATGGCGAAGGGGATTTCCTACGTCAGCCTGGATGTCGAAAGGTCTTTAAATGCTCTCTCAGCGGGGACGGATTTGCCTCGGGGGGGGGGGGGGCAGGGGAAGAAGGAAGGGGCAGAGGGAGGGGGTTGGGGAAGAAGGAAGGGGCAGAGGGAGGGGGCAGGGGAATTTTCTCGGGATTACTCTGCGCTCGTTGTCCCTAATGCTGAGGAATAGAAATTAGCTTTCTGGAACGAGAAAGAAACAAGATCCCAGAAGGGGAGAGGAATTCAGACTTTTCGTTCTGCCTCGCATTAGCGCCGGCGAGAAGGCGGAGGGCGGAGGGCGGAGGGCGGAGGGCGGAGGGCGGCCGCGGCTGGACGGCGTGACCGGAGGAGCGCTTGGGAACCGGGAGCCGTCGGGCCTGGGCGCGGCGCTCCCCCTCGGTCGGCCGCGCGTGCGCCCTCGCCGCTTCTTTGTTCGCTCGCGGGGGAGGCCCGGCGGGGGAGGGGGTGCTAGGGGAGTGCAAGGGGGGGGGGAGCGTAGTTGTCTGGTTGTCTGCGCGTGTGTTTGTTTGTGTTTGTGAGCGACTCGGATTCCCGATGGGGTTCGCGCTTAGACTCGGGCGAGTTTCGCCCCCCCCCCCTCCCCCCGACAACCTGTTGGCGATTGTTAATTAATGTCTCATCAACCGCGAACTTTGGCCGTCTTGTGGGCGGGTTTTTTCTTCCCCGGGAGAAGCCTTGGGCGCCGCGGATGTCTTTTATTTTCATTCATTTTATTCCATGTTTTGAATCAAATTGAAACGAGGATTTTCATACTACGAAAAAAATAATACAAATAAAAAGTTTTCATTCATTCGCAAGTGAAAACGGAATTAACATTTTCTATGACGATATTCCGCACTGCTGATGTAAACACCGAAACTAAAAATAAAACTGTTTAACTTTCAGGGATATTTTTTTTTCGAAAGAGGCTTTTTTTCTATAATACAGGAAAGCGAACATTTTTTTTCTTTAATAGCGAAAATCAAAATATCTGAAAAGTGTCTAAGCGAGTTTAAGACATTTTTTTCAAGACCTATTTCATTATTAACGAGGAAACTGATTGCTCACAACATTTAGAAACAATTGAACCTGTACTTTTGTTATATTAAAAGTGCACAGACTCAGAAATGATGAAAAATAGAAACAAAAGCGATGAATCTGTCAGCATTATTCTGAAATAGTTGTTCGTGGCATCAACAGGTAAGTCCCCTGTGATAATAACTCGGAGTCAACAGGTAAAATCTCTGGTGATAATAACGTAACTTTGGCTCTGATACTTTTTATTGTTATTGTTATTGCTATTATTATTATTATTATTATTATTATGATTATTATTATTGGCTATTTATTTTTATAAAGGGGGAATAACATTTAGAAAATTATTTCGGCAATTTTGGAGAAGTTAATTAGCACACGTAGCGAGTGAGAATAAAGGAATATAAAAATCTGGAGTTTAAACATACTTATAGCGTTAATGAGAAACATGATTTTAAGTTTGGAGAAGGAGAAGGAGAGGGAAAAAGAGAATGAGAGGGAGAAAGTAAGGGAGAGAGAGAGAGAGAGAGAGAGAGAGAGAGAGAGAGAGAGAGAGAGAGAGAGAGAGAGAGAGAGAGAGAGAGAGAGAGAGACAGAGAGAGAGAGACAGAGAGAGACAGAGAGAGAGAATAGGAGGAAGACGGAGAAAGAAAGGGAGATGGAGAATGAAAAGGAGAGGGAGAAGGAAAAGGAAAAGGAGGAGAAAGAAGAAAGGAAAGGGAGAGGGAGAGAGAAAAGGGAGACGGAGGAGGAAAGGGAGAGAGTGAAAAAAGTTCCTCCCGCCGCAGTGGCCGAAGGGGTGTGACGGTTTCCATTGATCTACTTGGAACGAAGCCAGCAACACCCCCCCCCTCCCCTCCTCCCCCCTTTCTCTTTCATTCTCTCTTTTTTTGTTTCACTTTCGTCCCTCCTTTGTGTGTCGTTGTTTGTTGATGTTACAATTTTATAAATATGTTAAGGTGTTTTTGGCTTTCGTGACTTCCCATTAACATTTTGTTCATATTAATTACTTTTTCTCTTTGTTTTTATTTTTTGTTTGTTTTTTTTGTTTTAGACAATCCATTTCTTTGTTGCTTTTGTGTCTCCCCCTTTGTCGTAAATACGAAAGAAAGGACTCTTTGTTAATGGCTAAACGAACAAACTCTTGGTAAATAGTCGTGGATTCAAATGTGACGTTAGAGTTTAGGCCTAAGCTTGTGAGTCTTCTCTTGCAGAGCTGGGAGGTACTGTCGGATACTAGTGGCATTAACATTTGTCTCGTGTTAATATACTTCAAGACTGGAAACTGCTTTTTAGTGTAGCAGATATAAAATGGTTCCAGAACTGTAACTTGTTTACAACCGAGACGAGTAGAGGTGCCGCTAGACAGGACCGGCTTTTCCATCACCTTACGTAGATTTTTTCTTTGATCTGTGCTAACCGCGTCCCTTTGCCTTGCAGAGCTCCACCCGCACCATGTTCAAGTGCACGTGGGCCGGCTGCCAGGAGATGACATCCGCCTGCGATGCCATTGAGAGACACATCCGCGCCATCCACCTCGGGTACGGAGTCATTTGTGGCCCTCGAGCCGGGCGGGCATGCCCAGGCCGCGAGGGACGTCCTTTCTCTGTGGAATATGGAATAGATGAGTCACATAGGATTTGGGGGATGGTAGTTTTGCTCTTTGATGAAGGTGTGGGGATTAAAGGGCGAACATGAAATAAGGTAGAGAGATCGTTAGCTTGATTACTTAGTAGCATGTCAAGCGAGAGCTGGCTTGATCGTTAGCTGATGGTGGGCATTTGTTGACATGCATGACATTGGTGTGGTAATGCATGGATGTGGATGAAAATAAAGCTGACCCCCCCCCCCCCAGGCGCGAGGAGGTGAGCAGCGAGCACAGCGACAGCGACAGCGACGACGAGGACGACCACGAGGAGGAGTTCTACTGGCGCGAGGTGGAGGTCAACGTGGCCACGTGGGTGGACCCCTGCGAGCCCCTGGTGGCGCCCGTGGTGCCCCCGCCCACCCCGCCTGCGCCCCCTGCCATGACCGTGACCGTGGCACCATCGCCGCCCACACCCCCGGCTGCCGTCGCCCAGCCCTTGGGCGTGGGCATCCCGCCCGGCCCCATCCAGCCGTCCCACCCACAGTACATCCACGTGTCGTCGCCGCCCACGCTCAGCCACATGGACATGGCGCGCCCGCCCCACGAAGGTCAGTCGGGATTTCGGTTCGGCCCCAAAGGGACTCTCCCCTGGGCATGGGCATTATCTTAGGGGCGCTTTCGTGTAACCCTTTTGCCTTTTCTTATTACTCGGAAGAAGTCACTTTCCCGCTCGTGAGTTTGCTTGTAGCTTTAGGTTTTGTGGAACATCCAAGCACTTGCAGATGTCACCGCCCTTTTCAGGTTTCAAAATTATGAAAAAATCGAGAAAGTTTTTGATTTGACATTTGTTTAAGTAACTAAGACATGTCACGCAGACAAGGATGACGCAATGCCATGCCAGCGTTATTATGACATTCATTTAAAATTCGTCTCCCGTTCGCAGACCCCGAGTACAGACGCCAGGCCGCCCCCATGCCCCTCTCCAGCTCATGGCCGCGCACCTCCACGTTCATGGTGAGTTTGGAAACAGATCTTCCTTACGTCTGCTTTCTGCTGTCTGAATATTTTGACTTTCTGCTGCCATATTTAAATGAAAAGAGATGAAAATAAGAACTCTGATTTCCGGGAGATGACTGAAATGTTCGTGTATTTTCTACAGGGTTCCGGACGTGGGAAGATCCGCGTGAGTTCCTCGCCGAAGGCCTCCCCAGGCCGAGGCAAGAGGAACGGGGAGAGCCGCAAGTGCCGCAAGGTGTACGGCATGGAGCAGCGAGACCTCTGGTGCACACAGTGCAAGTGGAAAAAGGCGTGCAGTCGTTTCGGGGAGTGAGCCTCCGCGGGATGTGTACAAAATGAGTGTGTGCTTAGCTGTGTAGCCTAGAGAGAAGGTGGAGAAAAGAGAAAGAGAAAGAGAGAGAGAGAAGGGGAAATATCTTCACTAGAGTCCACAGCTGAATGAGCAATTCAGTTCGGGATAAACATTTACTAGTGATTTCCTCGACCGCTGGTTGTGAGGAAAGTGCTTGACACTTGTGGTAGACAGAAATACTCCTTGCACTTTCATAACAGAGAGGAAACAATTTATGTGTAAGCATTTCCTTGCAGTCTGAGCAGTCTTACATACATAAGTGTAGAAGTAAGATCACAAAATAAAGATGTCATGAATGTAGATTACAATCTCATCATAGGGAAGTCAACCATTGGAAGCCAGAGAAAAGGGAAGCACAAGAGAGCAGGCTGAACGGCAGGCTCTCCGGGTGCCGCTCGCTCCTTCCGGGAGGAGACGCAGCAAGGGGCCAGCGTTGGTTGCAGGAGCCTCTCCTCTCCTCGGCCGCTCGGTGTTGTGGATCGCTGTTAGTTGGTAATGGCATCTCCAAGGCCTGGTGAAGTGTGATTTGATGAGGGCAGATTTTTATCACGTTCTTGTGATATCTCAAAAGGTGTGTGTATATACTTTGTATGTATGTCTATATTTATACATGAATTTACATGTATGTGTGCATACATGTACATCTACATAAATATATATACATTCACATACAAATGCATTTACATATATCTGCTTATACTTATATGTAAATGCGTTTGCATCTGTGTGTATGTACATATGTGCGTGCGTGTGCGTGCACTCACACACACACACACGCACACATGCACGCGTGCACACACACACACACACACACACACACACACACACACACACACACACACACACACACACACACACACACACACACACACACACACACACACACACATTTATATATATACACACATACATACACACATACATATACATACATATATATATATATACACATACATACATACACACATCTTGTTAAAAAGTTTCAGAAGGTAGAACATTTTACTACAGAAGTGCTTGAGATATTTTTAGAAGGCTTCCAAAAAATCACATGGAAATACATTGCAATAACCAAATCAAGATCCAGAGCTGGATTTTGTCAATGATGCAAAAACTACTTTCAAACTTTTTCCTATTGCAGTGTATTATAAACATTAAGTCGATGGACATCCATTGTATTATAATGTGTTTTAGCCAGGGAGATGTTGTGGATAGGGAAGCCATAGGTGATAAGCTCATATAGACTTTCATGATATTTTTATCCACAATTTATACATTTTTGATAAGAGCTTTGTATGAGCATGAGTGAAGCAATACTTTTTTCAAGAGGACGAACATGTCACCTATGCTTCCATATCCTGTTACTACTTGTAAGTTTTATTTTCAGGTGTAAAGTGTCTGACAAGCATGAAATGCAAGCACTTGAAATGTACAAAAAGAATCAAGATAATTTTATGATGCTCATCCCTCTGTGCAACTATGAATTACTGCTGGCAGAAGGCTGGAGAGAGCGCCTTGCATGCAACCCAAACCGCATCAGTCATATTGATCAATGCTAACACTCTCATGATAGGGAGAGAATATTTGGGGCTTTTATAATGAGTCACTGCTGTCAAAGTCTTGAAGTACTTACATTATTAAGAGTTTTGTTTTTAGAAAGGTTGCAAATATGAGTTTAAGACTTCCATTGTGGAAGTCTTGCAGAAAGACCCATGCAAATCTATCTATGCCAGACATTCAGTCAAATGTGCTCAAACGTGATGATAGCATATACCTTTTTTTAAACAATAGGAACACCAAACTGGAACACAGTGAGGAAATTCAGGTTCAGAATTTCAGCCCAGTTTATTTGAGAGGTTTAGTTGATATCAAGGACTTCATGCTGTTATATCTGTTCTCTTCATTTTGAGTCCGAACATGCAAGGGCACTTGTAGTAAGCATCTGTGAACATACTTATTTTGCTCCAGGAGAGCATGTTGCAAGAAGAATATTTATTTTTAATATTTTTGTACTATATCGCACGAGCCGGATATTCTGTACCCAGTCATGGCTTGCGTACTTACCCACCCCCAAAGCCCTCTTAGAATGTGGAACGGTGCAAAGACGCCGAGGGGAAGTGATGACCCCAATAAATCCACCAGGTGAAGCGAACTCTCCGGCCTCCTCCACCAGCCCACTCACTTCTTAGGAAGTTTACTGCAGCAGAGAATCAACTTCATTTTATTGAATTTTTTTTTTATTAATATTATTTTTTTTAATGTGTAGTGTTACCAACTTTTCTTAGGGGATGTATGTTGTGTCAAGCAGAATAATGAAGAGATCACTGTATATGTCCTATGGCACTATGTCCGTGAGGTGAGGATGAGCGAAAAGGGAGCCTTAAAGAGTCACAGAACCCACAGAGATTAAAAGGGGATATAATGTATAAAATGATGTTGATATTCAAGCTTAAGGTGATTATGAGATGTCTTCATCATGTTCTGAAAGCTTCCAGAAAAAGTTGATTTGCAGTAAAGTGCAGGAAAGGATGAGGAAAGCAATTTAAAAGCAACTTTTTTTTTCTCCCCCAGTAAGAAGGAAGTTAACAGTAAAGACCTCTCGTGATCATTCAACTAATCACTTATCTTTTTTCCCATCCTTCAGTCCACATTTTTATCCATGTTGTTGAGGATGATTTCAAGAGTCGTTTGGGACCAGATGATAAGCAAGCGTTGGCAGGGGAACCTAGAAATATTTTAAGAATGGTTTGGAAAGTATTCTTCTGGCCACCTTTCATGCGGATGGGAGAATGAAAACTAGAATTCCATATTTCTTTTTATTCTTTTATTTCAATATGTTGAAATTGGAATGTATGTCTAGGCTTTAAGAATACAAGACAAAGTCTTTTAATTCATATGAAACAGACATGCACATTCACATTCACACACACTCTCGTGACATTTCAGCTTTTGTAAAGTCAAAAAATAATGCTAGTGAACTCCTATTGCATTACATTCCAACTTTTAAACAGTTATTATGGATTTTATTACTACTACTTTTTCAATATACAAAACATTACACATACTTTTTTTTTTCTTCTTCTTCTTCTAAGTATGGTTTATAACTTCAGTCAAAGAAACTAAACCATTTTTTTAATTTTCTGAAAGTGTTGGTTTAAGGGTCCAGAGATGCATTGTATGAGTTGACTTGTATTTACGTTTTCATGCAGTGGCAAAAGAAACCTTGCATTTGGGAGATGGAGCAAGAAAAGACCTCACATGAAGTGGTAGAGAAATGTAGAGGTAAAGCACTGTGCTTTAGAGCACAAAGAAGCTGTTCTTGTGCTTTCTGTGTTAGAAATGTGGTCAGAGTTTAAAAATGTAGAGGTAAAGCACTGTGCTTTAGAGCACAAAGAAGCTGTTCTTGTGCTTTCTGTGTTAGAAATGTGGTCAGAGTTTAAAAAAAAAAAGACTGCAGTCAGAGGACAGAGCAATTTATGTATTACTCTTGTAAGTAAAGGCATGCAAGCCAGAAGCTGAGAATTCTCCACTCCTCAGTGAAGGTGGCCAGACCGTCCTTTGTAAACACCACTGCCATTTTATCATTGTTATATATTTTTTTCCATAAAGAGTGGCATTACCAGTATATAGCTGTGTTGTGATGTTTATACTGATATCCATTTTATTTTTATGATAACCCTTTTTTTTCTTAATCATGTAATATACTTGTTAATCTGTAGAAAACAATATTGAAGTACACAATTTGAATATCAAGAGGCTATGAGAACTGCTCATTACTAAGGGTCTGGTAGATGGACTATGCGGGTTGACAAGAACCCTCCCACGATCTGTCTTTCATAACTAATTTTCATCATGCATAGACATGGACTTAGTTTTTCCATTCATATTGAATAGCTTGTTTTTTTTTTACTACTACTACTTTAAATAGAACTAGTAATGTGACATTAACTTTAGGATTCTGAAATACTGTACCGGGTGCGCACACTTCCTTGGCCAAATGTGCGCACCATGCAGCTGCCAGTAACTGTTAATCCTGGAGTAATAATGTGAAACAATAGCCATAGTAACAGGGATAAGATCAGTCCAGTGTCCACTACCAAATGAGTGCTTTAAATAGATTTTATAACAAATGATCTCTGATTGCTTAGAGTTAGATAGTGTATCATTTATGGAGAATGTACAGACTTTATTAATATATTCCATAAAAGCAAAAAAGCTCTCTTCACTTCTGGTGCTATTGTTGCCATAAAATTAAAAAAAAAAAAGAAAGAGGTGTGACTGCAAAACTTTTCCCATTTCCCCCTCCCCCTTTTTAAAAGAACAATGGATGAGATACACTTTCAAGAGATATCAAAATGTAAGAAGAGGAAATGGCCTTTGGTTGCACAAATGTTGATTTGAGGAAACACGTTTAATGCTGTTCCTCCCCATTAGATTTTAGAAATAGAAGTAACGACCCGGGAAATGGTCGTCATTCCCTTTGTACATAGGAAGACCTGGGCACATGCATATTTTCTGAGGATTTTGCCAACCCCAGTCTTAAAGCCTGAATTCATTATAATCACTTCTTTTATATATATATATAGCTTTAGTGAACATTAACAAAATGAGAAAAAAAGAATGACTTGGAAAAAAAAAAAAGTTTGGTTTCTGTTTTGTTTTTTGTTTTTTGTTTTTTGTTTAGGATTGGCCGTCAGCATTTTGTTATTGCCCTTTTAGGTAGTGAAAAGTCTACCTCAACTATTAAGGTCCCTTTTTGTACAAGACGGGACGAGAGAATAGGGTGGTGGCATGACACCATGTATATTTCAGTGACTACCTGTCTTTCATTTGTATTCAAAACTTTTTTTTTTTCCTTCACAACACAATTGCCTATGCAATATAAAAAGGACACCTGTGGAAGCATCACATTTCGTATTCAAAGAGATGATTTTTTATATGCCATTGCCAACCAAGTACACTGAAGACCTCATAGCAGAGAAGTGTCATTTGATATTTTATGCCATAGTACAAAGTATTTTATGATGTATTAGTTTTTACAAGGCTTTTTGCTAGTTGCCACGTCAGTTTTTGTGTTTGTAGGAGTAAGGCTTAAAGAGTTTTATTGATGTGTATTCCAGTTTTTATCTTTTTTTTTTTCTTGTATGTGATGTATATATATCTCTATATATATATGCTTAATGGTGTTGGCTCTTCTGTGTACATAGCTCCAAGATTTCTGTTTTACCCTATGGATTGAAATATATATATATATAAATACAATATACATATAGAAATTATCTATAATCTATTATATTAATGGCTTCCTTTCATGTTACAATGCCATTGAGATTTATTGGTTACTTCATAGTCTTTTAATTATCAGTTTTAAAATGCAGAGTATATCATACCAATGGATGTAAATTACGAAAAAAAACAAGGAAATCCATAGGGTTAATAAATTCATCTTTTTATTTTATTTTCCATAGAATAGCTGAACATGTAAAGGGATGACATGGGTTGGTTAATATAACATGTGAGGATTTTTACGTGCAAGATGTAAATGTGGATTTTACACAGCTTGGCCTTAGAGAGCAAATTTGGCATCAGGTCCGAATTTGCTCTGAAGGTCTACTAAACCACTTTCATGTTTACTTTTTTTTTCTGTTTTAACATTCATGTGACCCTTGCCCCAGAGTTATCTTGACATGTTCAAAGTTTTTGTACAGATAATGATAGACTTCTGTGTGTATAAGTCACCGCCTATTGATTTTAAGTAACAATTTTATAACTGACTTACTGTACTCTTCTCTAGACATCGCTGTACTTGTCTGTCATTATGGTTTAGCGTAATAGATCGTGCATGAATGAAAGTGTTTACTTGAATCCTTTAAAGAACAAAACATGGTGTTTACTGGTTTCTCAATATACTCAAGAATTTGCTGTTACTTTTGATAGAAAAAGAAAAAGGAAGAAAAAATGTGGTTGTGAATATGATGGATGGATTAATATTTATTAATACTTTTTGAGTTACATTTTTAAAATGGTCACAGGGGAGCAGCAACTGGCAGAAATTAACTTGGGAAATTGAGAAACCTTTAGAAGTCCATAATTATAAGATGAAACGCTTTCATATATTTTAATACAAATCAAGAAAATGAAGGAACCGATAAATAATGTTTAATTGAAAAAAATATTAATAGTAAAAGTTAAGAACAATAAAGTTTGAAATGTGAGCAAGAAAAAATATATTTCAAATATCACACAATAGTATAAGAAATGTGAGACCAAACAGCAAGACTCAAAATATATTTATGAACATG